CGCCCCTGGCCCCGAGCCGCCGGCCACGCCGCGCGCTCGCTTGCCGCCCGGCCGCACATGTGTTTCTGTTTTGTGTTGTAGCGTTTGTTCTGGAAGCTCGTATTTACATTTTAAGTGTATCTGGTGAGTGGGCTGGATCCCTCGTCTGGGCCAAAAAAAAAAAAAAAAGCCTGCGATCCGTCTTTGAGTTGCTTCCCTTCCTTTTTCTCTCCGGTTTCTCATCACTCCAACCAGGTAGGGGTTGAAGAATCACAGTGATCAGTTCGCGGGGTCTGGGAAAGTTTTTTTTTTTTTTCCTTTTTTCTTTTTTTTAAGAGAAAAGGTTAAAAAAAAAAAAAAAACCTGGTGAAGGGGGTTGGGGGATTGAATGAATAAAAAAGGGGAAGGAAGGCGGATCCACGTGGTTTAATCGGAGACAGACAGAGATCCCATTGTTCAAAATCAAAAAAAAAAAAAAAAAAAAGGCGAAAAGCGCAAGGAGGCTGGAGGGACGCGCGGCGGAGCCGGGCACTGTGCGGCCGGGTCGGGGAGGCCGGCCCGGGCCGCACGGCCGGGGACTGGGCCGGGAGGCAGTTGGACACCATTAAAGTTTTTATTTTTCGTCTCTGTACGAGCAGGTGCCTGGGGCTGGGGGTCGGCTTTATTCGGGCTCCTCCTCCCCTTCGCCGGGGGCAGCTCACTCCGAGGGACTCGGCTAATTGGAGCCCGAGGTGGGAGCCCCAGGATGGGGCTGGAGGGAGGTGGGGAGAACATTGCATTAAGTTGACTGGGCTGGGGACGGGGGCGCGGAGACAAAAGCAGCAAGTGGGGTGGCCGGGGGGGAGGGAGCACCTTTACCAGCCGACGTGCCGAAAAGAGACCTTTAAAGTGTCCCAAAGCTGCTTTTCATTAAAGCTTAGGGGATTGGAGCCTTTTTCTTTCCCTTTACTTTTTGGGGGACCAGGTTGCAATTGTGATGCTTTGTGGGCAAACCTAACTCAAGGCTGGGCAGGGGGGTTCTGCCCACCCCCCCAGCACCCCAAGCGGATTGCATCTGGAGCTCTCGGCTCCCATGCGGGATTCCCCGGAGGAGCTGCGCCGGGGCCAGGGAGGGGCGCGATTTCCTCTCCCAACTCGCCCCCTCTCCACCCACCCCGCGGCCGCCACTTTGGGGAGGGCAGGGGAGGAAGTGGAGGCCGGGTGGCTCGTCTCGGCTCCCCTCCCCCCCGCAGTTTATAACCCGTCCATTGTGCGCCGCTGCCCCGTGTCTCCCTCCAGCCGCGACCATGCCCAGGAAGAAGGCGGCGGCGGCGGCCTGGGAAGAGCCGACCTCGGGCAACGGCACGGCCCGCGCCGGGCCCAGGAAGCGCGGCGGCCCGGCGGGGAGGAAGCGCGAGCGGCCCGAGCGCTGCAGCAGCAG